CTGTCTGTCCTTCTGTCTGTCTGTCTGTCTTTATCTCTGTCCGTCCGTCTGTCTATCTGTCTGTCTTTATCTCTGTCCGTCCGTCTGTCTATCTGTCTGTCTTTATCTCTGTCCGTCTTTATCTCTGTCTCTCTGTCTGTCCATCTGTCTGCCTGTCTGTCTTTATCTCTGTCTGTCTGTCTGTCTTTATCTCTGTCTGCCTGTCTGTCTTTATCTCTGTCTGTCTGTCCATCCGTCTGTCTTTATCTCTGTCCGTCTTTATCTCTGTCTCTCTGTCTGTCTTTATCTCTGTCTGTCTGTCTTTATCTCTGTCTGTCTTTATCTCTGTCTCTCTGTCTGTACGTCTGTCCATCTGTCTGCCTGTCTGTCTTTATCTCTGTCTGTCTGTCTGTCTTTATCTCTGTCCGTCTGTCCATCTGTCCGTCTTTATCTCTGTCTGTATGTCTGTCAATCTGTCTGCCTGTTTGTCTTTATCTCTGTCTGTCTTTATCTCTGTCCGTCTGTCCATCCGTCTGTCTATCTGTCTGTCTTTATCTCTGTCCGTCTGTCTGTCTTTATCTCTGTCTGTCTGTACGTCTGTCTTTCTGTCTGTCTGTCTGCCTTTCCGTCCGTCCATCTGTCCATCTGTCTGTCTGTCTGTCTGAATCTCTGTCTGTCTGTCCGTCCGTCCATATGTCTTTATCTAAAAAAAAGTTTTTCTTTTTTTTCAGAAATACTGCACATTTACATTTTTCTCCTAAATAAATTCTAAGTAAATAAAATAAATAAAAAGGTTTTTTTTTATTATAATTTTATTATTAGTAGACTAGAACACGTGGATATGTTGTCATTCTTACACTATAATACTGAACTTTGATTTCAGTGATTTGGACTATGAGATGGACACTTGCTTCTTGCACTCTGTCGCACTTTACTTTTGCTTTAAAAAATGGATTTCATAGAAATTTGGATTTCATTTGGTTTAATAAAATATAGTTTAATAAAATATTCTTAAGTAAAATTGTTGATTTTTTTGTGGGAAATTAATCGTTACGATTAATCGATTAATCAATAAATTAGTCGATAGATTAATCGAAATAAAAATAGTCGTTAGTGGCAGCCCTAGTCTGTCTGTCTGTCTGTCTGTCTGTCCATCTGTCTTTATCTCTGTCTGTCTGTCCATCTGTCTGTCTTTATCTCTGTCTGTCTGTGCATATCTGATACATAAAACAATATTTTAATGAAAATATATGCAATACTTTATAAAAGCAATAAGATGCTTGAGCTTGTGTTGAATTGTGAATCTGTGTGTGTGTGTGTGTGTGTGTCTGCAGATGGGCGATTGGAGTTGATGGGATCTGCTGACAGGGTAAAGAAAACACCTGACTTCTTTTTATTAATAAACACACCACCATTCAGAAGTTTGGTCTCAGTAAGACTGATCACTGTTTTTACTGTATTTTTGATTAAATATATACAGCCTCGGTGAGCAGAAGAGACTTTTTCAAGAACATTTAAAAATCATGCTAATGCCAAACTTTTGAATGTAAGTTTATATGCAGTAATGTTAAAGAAATATAATACAGCTAATAATTCCTGTGAGTCTGTGGTCCTGTTTTCATTTCTTCAGTCTCATTTTGAATCACTTTCTGCACTGAATGAGTTTGTGTTGTTTTTGTGCTGATGATCATATGTGTGAATCTCTTCATGACAGGCTGTCACAGTCCCACAGAGGTAATCGAACACAGCAACACTGCAGACACACGTCATACTGAAACACACACCTGTGAGAAACACACACATGTTCAGTGTAGTGATTGTGTGCTGCGGTTTCAGGCCGGTGAGATCATTACCCAGAGATCACCTGCGTTTACCGCCTCTACCAGTACAGACCATCCCTAACTATCCAAACCAGTTTGATGAGTCTCCTCCATCCAGACCAGCACCAGAACCAGCGTCACCGCAAACCAGATCACACAACAGCAGACCAGCATGGACACAGTGAGTCTCATACACACACACACACACACACACACACACACACTCACTCACACACACCTGCAGAAACTAGTTTAAGTCTTTTATTTATAAAGCACATTTAAAAACAGTCACAGGACTGACCAAAGCGATGCACAAACTCACATAGTCGAAACAGGAAATAACACATACAAAAACATCATCGTTATTTTTGTTTTCTTTGCACACAAAAAGTATTCTCGTAGCTTTGTAAAATTAGTTGAACCACTGATGTCGCATGGACTATTTTAATGATGTCCTCACTACCTTTCTCAAGAGATTTTTCAGGCAGGAAACTAATTTTAGTTTAATTTAGCCGAAAAAAGCTAGAAGCAACAACAGAGGAAGCATGTTTATCTAAAGTGAGCTGACTGTAACGAAGAACACTGAGGTTCCGAACCTTGGTGTTAAAAGCTGACAGGCTTTCCTGGGTAGAGTTGTTAACTCTTTTACGCCAGCGTTTTTGAAAAAAGTTGCCAGCCACCGCCAGAATTTTTGATAATTTTCACTAAAATTTCATGGCCCCCAGAATATTTTGTTATGTGAATATCTAAACAGGCAATGCATCCAAAAAAATAAATAAAATACAAACACAGAAAGCTGAGAAAATTATTGCTGAGTTTTTATTGAATACTACAACTGGATCATATTCAGTACGATGATCAAAGCATAGCTGCAGTAGATTATCAACACTCCCTAAGCTTCACATTTCACTCGCTAACATTAGGCACTTTTCATTTATATGCCGTTTATTGTTGATGATCGTATTATTTTTCACATGCATCTGCTTACATATGAGATTGCTCGTTTCTGCGTCTTCCTCAACTGTGTTTCTGATCGAGAGATTCTGGACTTATTCAGGAGATGCATAATAGCGCCCCCGAGTGTATAACAGTGAAAACACAGAAACCTGGAAACTTCCATGTTTGGCAGGGAAAGAGTTAAACTCAATCGAACCTAAAGGAAGCATGTAAAGAGAGAAAAGGCAAAGGTGCTAGAATAGAGCCCTGAGGAATTCCAGATTCAAGAGGAGGAAACTAGAGTGAAAAATATCTCTCGGTTAGATTCAGGACTGAACCTTTTAACCCCACACACAGGATTCTAATCTAGATAAGAGCAACAGGTGGTCTATAGTGCCAACGGCAGCAGAGAATTAAAATCACAGAGTCACCTGCATCGGCAGCAACTAAGATATAATTTAAAACTCTCAGCAGAGCTGACTCTGTCTATGAAAAGGGTTAAAACAAGACTGGAAAATTACTTTAAAAAGACTTAAGTTGACTCTTAATTTCTCCTATTTAAGTTAAACTGTCTGATTTGTGTGTTTTTATTCTCAGATCCAGTCCGAGTGAGCGAGAGAATGTAAGTCCATTTCTTTGCTGTAACTCAAATTCATTCATAAGCTCCATGTTTTACACGCATAACAAAGTCAATCAGTCAAAGCTTGATCCATACACAATTTAATTTACTTTTTACAAAAACCTGTTCTGATGCCATGCTATTCATCACAGAGCACTAACTAGAAATAAAAACAGTACATGTGGTGGAGAGCGGGGCATGTTGTCACAGTGGAAACGTGTCAGTAAACAGACTATTAATATCAGCAAAGCATTTATGAAATCGCAAATACATCCAGTAATATATATTACCATTGTTTTGACCAACAAATGTTGTATTTAAAGAAACAGATGTTCCAAATATAAAGAAATTGCCAACAATCACTATTAAATCATGATGTCTAATGGTGTTGTGTATTCAAGAAACCCAAACATAAATCAGATAATTCATGGAAATAATAATCACTCTCTATTTCACCCTCAGGTTAAAACACCATCATCTGCAAGTAAGTTATGTTGCCTTATATAATATAATATAATATAATACACACTAGCAGTCAAAAGTTTTTGAACTGTAAGATATTTAATGTTTTTTAAGAAGTCTCTTCTGCTCACCAAGCCTGCATTTATTTGATACAAAATACAGTAAAAACAGTAAAATATTATTAGAATGTAAAACAGCTGTTTTCTATGTGAATATCTGTTAAACTGTAATGTATTTCTGTGATGCGCAGCTGTATTCTCAGCATCATTACTCCAGTCTTCAGTGTCACATGATCTTCAGAAATCATTCTAATATGCTGATTTATCATCGAGAAACATTTATTATTATTATTATTATTATTATTATTTAAAACAGTTGAATACATTTTTTCAGGCTTCTTTGATGAATAGAAAGATCCATCAACATTTATCTGAAATAAAAAGCTTCTATACACTATACCATTCAAAAGCTTGGAGTATATATATATATGCAAGGATGCATAAAATTGATCAAAAGTGACAGTGAAGACATTTATAATGTTACAAAAGATTTCTATTTCAGATAAATGCTGTTCTTCTGAACTTTCTGTTCATCAAAGAAACCTGAAGCTTAAAAATCGAACTGTTCAAAAACGTTTGACTGTAGTGTAATATAATAGCTGTAATAATAAAATATAATATACCTGTTATGCAGGTCACACGTCTCACAGGTTTTCTCTGGATCTGGACTCTCAGGATTTGGACAGGTACTGACCTCAGTCACACACTCTGTGCTTTAAAGGGGTCATATGATGCTTTTTTAAAGATCATTATTTTGTGTATTTGGTGTAACAGAATATGTTGAAACTAGAGGAATGCTGTGTGTAACAGTGTTTGTCTGATCCTGCAGCTCCTGTGAGAGCGAGAAGAGCTCGTTCGGTAAGAACCGACTCACTGAATCACAGCTGAAGCGGCTCAGATTCACAGAGTCTGGATTCTTTACAGATTCACTCGCGAGGAAGCAGCAGCATCACGAATGGCCTCCTGCTAAAGGAGAAACCGACGGCAGCTTCACCAACCACAGCAAACCTGCGCAGGTACAGCATCAGCGTTAATACTGCCTTTATCACTGATGCTTCAGTTATTATTACAGTCAGTCTCAGTTCAAATCAGCATAGTGTTTAAAGTCGAGAGGAAACAGAAGTAGCTGCAGATCTTTTTTCAGCGCTGTAACAGATTTTTGAAAAAGAGGCGGAGATTTAGTTCTGTCTGCCGGTTGTTGATTGGATGTTGAAATGTGGGCGTGGCACTCATAAATGGAGGCGGGTCTAAATGTGAGCTTGCAGATAATTGTGGGCGGAGTTTAGGTGATTGGAGAGTCTGTCTGGAGAAAAAGATCCAGTTATGACAATTTGATTTGAGTTTTACATTGTTTAAAAAAAATAATAATAGAACATGCTTCCTGTCAAAAGTTTGGAATAATTAAGATTTTTTTATGTTTTTGAAAGAAATCTCTTCTACTCACCAAGGCTGCATTTACTTGATCAAAAATACAGTAGAAACAGTGCAACATTATTACAATTTAAATAACAGTTTTCTATTGTAATTTATTGTAAAATGTAATTTATTCCTGTTGTAAGGTCCACCCAATTGGCCCAACGAAGGTATCCAATGGTGGTTAAATGTAATTGTGCAAAGTAATTTAATATAAATTCTAATCTGACTCAATTTTATTATGACATCGGATTTAGATTGAAATGCTAATTATTAATGCTAATCCGTTTCTAATTATTATTATTAGTATTTTGTCTAGCCCCCCATAGTTAACTGCATGTAGTTCATTCTCCATCTAACCTGAGATCTAGTATGTACTTAATAGAGATGTAAATAGAACGTTTCATCATGATAAGATACGATATCGATTCTCATACCTAGCGATACGATATTTGCAGATACCTCAAAAAATTCTGATTCGATTACGATACGATTCGATACAGGAGTATATCGATCGATTTATTGATATTATGATATTATACACAAGCAGTTACATTTTTATTGACTCACAAATGCAACCAAAATATATAACACGAACATTTATCTGAAATTAGCCATTTTTAACAGAGTTAAGTCAAATACAGTTTTGGAGTTTTTAGAAAAAATTAATTATAAAAATATGATATAATTCAGCCATAATATTTCTCACCGTGAAAACGGCCGAGCAGCAAATCAGCATATTATTATGATTTCTGAAGATCATGTGACACTGAAGACTGCAGTAATGATGCTGAAAATACAGCTGCGCATCACAGAAATACATTACAGTTTAACAGATATTCACATAGAAAACAGCTGTTTTACATTCTAATAATATTTAATTATTTTTACAGTTTTTTTGATCAAATAAATGCAGCCTCAGTGAGCAGGAGAGACTCTTTCAGAAACATTAAGAAATCGTAATTATTCCGAACTTAGTGCATGACTGAACAGATTGCTCAAAATAAGATTAATAACATGCATTTAGAAAATACACCGCTAATGTCCGTGTCACGTCTGTCCTGCAGGGATTGGCGGATCAGAACTGGTATGTTGGTGCGGTTAGTCGCGTGGACGCTGAACACGCTCTTCACCTGGTCAACCAGGTAAAACACACCTTCATTTCACTCCAGCATCATCACATTTGTTACAGTTCAGAGACACAAGAACGTACAGAAATCACAAACTCAGAAAACAAACATGTGGACCGTGCATGAATTATGTTTAGATACAGATCTTGATGTTTATATGATACCAGCTGACTTCTGTCCACAGGAAGGAGCCTTTCTAGTGCGCGACTGCTCGAAGAACACTACCTATGAGCCCTTGGTCCTCGCTGTGTTTTACGACAAAAGAGTGTTTAACATTCAGATCCGCTTCAGTGATGAAATCAGCAAATACACTCTGGGAACGGGCCTGAGAACCAATGACGTTAGTCACACACCCAGCAGAACGCAGTGTCTGTCAGTACATCAGCATCAGCATCATCTCTCGTCTCTTTGTCTTTCAGAGGTTTGACTCGGTCACTGACATCATCAAGTTCCACTCCATTTTTCCCATCGTTCTCATCGACGGCCGGACATCCTCCGCGCCCGCCAATTTATAAGACATTTTTAGTGACGTTAGACTGGTACAGACTCAACAAAAGAGCCAAAGAGCTCATCTGATAGAACGAAGAAAAATCAAACGTTTAATAATGTGGCTGTGGATAGCAATCGAATATCTAAAGGATTCAATATTTTTGACATTTTAACACACACATGTAAAGTAATAGTGAGCGTTTGGCTGAATGCAGACACACAAGAACCATTTTCCCAGAAACTTTAAATCCATTTATAAGTTTTATTTAGTCACACTTAATATTTTTTGGCCTTTATGAATAATTTAAAATAGATGTTATGCTTCTGAAGCCTCAGAACTATGTACAGATTATAATTTGACAAACTCGTGACACGTGTTTGGTTTCTAGACACATTCTGTGTTTACAAACGAGCAGGTGCCCTGAAAATCAAAAGCTCAGCTGTAACTTTACATAACATCAACAGTAATAAAAGAAAACAGTCGGTTTACTGGTTTGATCATTTGAGGTAGATTTACAATGATAAACACATCGAACCGTCTCGACTGTTTTACGCAAGGAAAGTTGCTTGATGTACAGACTTTGACAGTGATTGTACATGTGTGCTGTAGTTTACAGTGAAATACTGAGTCCGTATACGCAAACCTTTTTGTTTGTTTGCAAAAACACATTTACTGTACGGCATACGTTTGAATTTCACAAATGACAAAGCCTCACCCAACAAAGACCATGTGCACAAAAATCAGAAAAGATTCATTTAACACTGATGCTTACGTGCTCGTAATATGATGACAGTAAACGACGTGAAATGATTTCAGTGAATGTACTTCATGTGAACATTTGTGAATCTCCAAACGTAAGACGTGACGTCAGTTTGAAACGAGCCTGTACACAGTCATGACAAATAACACGCAACATCCTAAAACACATTAGTGTTGTTTGAAACCTCTTGGTTTCAGAATTCTGACCTTCTTACGAATAACTTCTACATATTGGCAGTTCAGTTTTACATTTATATATTATACATGTATATGAGCATGTTTGTCATTGCTGTTGTCAAGTGGGCCATGGCGGGACCGGGTAAGTATTGTTGAAAAAAGTTATTTTTATTCCCAACTATAATATGACCAGAATAGCTAATACTTGGTCTAAATCACAACATATTTGACGAAATGTTTATTGGCATTGAATTACAATTGTCCACCAACCAGCTTTATTACCGTTAAAATTATCTCACATGGGTTTTTTAAAATAGCACTATCGTAAAAAATCAATACGTGAAATATCTGTAGCTGGTTTTTACGAGAGCTGTTTCTCCGAGACTCCCTTCAGAATGAACTCGATTACCTGATACTTCTGTCCATGGACTTTCTTGAGTTTCATCTTGAATGAAGGCTGTTTCCTCGCCGGCTGTTCCTGCTCGTGATCCACCGAGTGAACCCACTTATAGTTCTTGAGGGTTTGGACGCCAACACTGACGCGCTGAACTGAAGGATTGGGGTGGTTCAGAACCACAACCGGCTGGTTCGGACCGGGAAGCTTGATGCGCTGATCCGCTTTCAGAGGAGTTAACCTCAGTTCTTGACCTTTGGTTGAGAATCGAGGAAGGCCCATCCCAGCCGACGATGACCTGCGTTTCTTGGCTTTTCTCTTTTCTTTCTTGTGTTTTTTACGTGGTGGAGAGTCTTGGTGCTTCTCTTCTCTTTCACAAAGGTTTCTCTTTAGTATCAGCTTGATGGCCACTTCAGGACTTCCGGAGATGTTCTGCTCGCTTAGCGTGCAGCAGAGAACCGGTCGCGCCGTCAAACTCTCCTCTCGAGTTGGCGCTTCCGGAAGCTTCTTGGTGGGTTCCAACAAAGAACTGGGAATCCTGAACAAAGCTACTTTTGGATACATGTTGAAAACACAGGAATGTTTTTTTTGGCCAGACTCATGTTCAGAATGTCCCTTGTCTTGATGTGGAATGTCATCTTTGTTTGATGGAACGACGCTCTGGTTTGACAAAACCAATTGTTGAGTCAAATTTGGAGCTTGTTTTGAGTGGCTTGTGTTTAGGGTTTTCGCTGATCTTTTCACTTGACCATGAGTCTTAGATATTGCAGAGCCTTTACTAGTCTTATCCTCTGTCTTTGTTTCTTTGAGACCCGAGGAAGCACCTTTGGGTTTGTCCTCAGTATCCTCCTTTTTAATCAGAATACTACAGACCAGCGGTTTCTCTGCACTCTTCACCTCGTCCTTCGGCTCTTTCATTGCCACCTTCCAGCGTTGCATTTCTGGCGAGGACTTTGAGATGCTTTGAGTTGACTTAGGCGTAGGACAAAGAGAGAAAACTGATGAGATCACTGGAAGGCTTTCAGAACTCAATTCTGGACCCTCGAGCGTGATGATCTCTGGATTCTTGGTCTTCAGGTTGCGCTTGCTCTTGGCTGGCGTCTCTGAAGAACACTGTGGTTTGTGTGCTGATTGAACAGTTTTTGTGATAGTCTGAACACCGGTGCACGTTGAAGGCTGCTGCTGTTTGACTTTGTGAGATGTTGCAGACGTGGATGGGCTGACTGGACACCCTTTGGCAACTTGACATTTGAAGGACAGTTTGCCTCCAGTTGCGGCTGATGAAGGTTCATCCACGTTGCTCTTCTGGTCTTGCGGGATCCCATTGGGTGGGATCAACCGTAGCTCCAACTCTCGAGTCCCGTTGACGTTTTTCACCTCGACCAGTTCCACCAAACACCCGGCAGGAATATTGATCTCCTCTGGACAGGACACGGTCAAAGGCTTGTTGTGTTGAATTGGCTGGTTCAAAGGTGCCAACAGTTCCACTTGGACACTGGATAACGGGCCTGATGTTTCTGCTGATGATCCTACAGGTGCTCTGGAGGTCGTTCTTGACTGGTTGCTCTTTTCTGCACTGGAGTGCAGTGGACTTTTGATTGTACTGCTGGGAAGTACAACTGGTTTTGGCGTCCCAACGTTAGTCCCTGTTGTGGACTGACTAGACCTCTGATCCATCTGGATATTCCTCTTGGATAAGGGCGTATTAAGCAGCGCTCTGAGCGGGGTGTTCAATTCAACAGGTGCTCGGACCTGGACTCTGTGAATGGTTTTTGCAGCCATAGCCTTTTCCGAAACACCAACACTTTGCTGTAGTGGTTCTGTAGAACCAACATGGACTCGTGGGAACGTGGCTTTCGTAATAAGCTTTTCCGAAACGGAAACCTTGATTTTCCCATCTGCACTGAGTTGAGAGTTCGATAGGTTGCCGTTTGCCTCCCGTGATCTTAGAACGACTTGCGGCGTGTTGCCTAACGAGTGACTAGCGCTTGGAGCACAGCTGGGAATGGCACCGGTGAACTGAGTCTTAGAAACCGGAACGACGGTTGCTGTGTTGGTCATACACGGCGTCGTGAAACTGTAGGTCATCCGGGCACGATTACTCCTGGTTTGGTTCACTGTTTTACTAATAACAGATGATTGGTCAGGTTGACTTCCACTGGGGAGTTCGACATGGGAATTAGGAATTGCACACTGGTCATTCCTTTCAGGCCAATCTGAAATCTCAAGAGTGTCAGGAACAGATGGACCTGCTGTATCTAGGGTGGATACAGCGAAGTCCGTTATGAAGCCTTCTTCCGCATTTCTCTTGTGAATACGAAGAATATGCTTCACCATGTAATCTCTCCGCACGGCTCCGTATGAGCAGAAGCTACACCTGTACGGGTACGAGCCGGTGTGCGAGACGATGTGTTTCTGAGACTCCGTTTTCGAATAGGAAACATAGCTGCAGAGCGCACAGGAGAAAGTCACCTCCTTATGATGGGACACGTGCCTCTCGAACAGGTCAGTGTCCTTGGTGGAAAAACGGCATTTTGCACAGCACAGGCGTTCAATGTCTTTCCTAGGTATAGCATTGGCCTTGCTGTTCATAAATGACATGAAACTTTGTTGTGAACGCATGGTCAGGACATCAAGTTAACAATCCTACGGTCCAAAAATCAAAGAATACGTGATCCACATTAGCTGTTTTTTCCACTGGTGAGAATCCCTTCCTTTGGGCTCAGCACACTGCTAGTTTATATCTGCACAATGGGTGAGAAAAAAAAAAGTGTTTCAGGAAATTAGAAAGGAATAAGATTCAAAAAGTAGTAATAAACAACTGATTCACATAAAACACTCTCTTCATTGGTTATGTTTTGCAACAACTCTAATTTATAACCTATGACCTATTATGACCTATAAATTCTTTGTAATGCAACCAACAACAACACTGTTAAAGACTGTTAAAGATAATTCGTTTTCAAATCACTAGTGCATCTTAAAGGGGATTTAATGGAGCATTAAAGATGACACTTTAGGAAGGCGAAAGCTGGGGAAAAAGAGTTTGTAAAGAAGTTTACTATAACCATTGTTGTCTTTTTCAAGGTATCTTGAAAGTGAACCCCACATAGAGACCAGAATATCATAAAGACTTGGAAATGCAACCACTAACAACCAAACTGCAAATGACTAATAACCACTCAGAACAAACTAGTACAGTGTGCCAGGTTTTGCATTGGTTGTTATCTGATAGAACATGGTCTGAAATGTCCGTTGGCCAGTTTTGGGAGTCTACATGTCAAACTCTCTAACGCCACCATCCGCTTGAAGTTTCACTTTTTTAAAAACAGATTTTCTGTTAATAATATTTCAGTCCGATTGCATAAACACTCTTTGACCTCCAATGTTGTGCAGAAGAGCTGCATTCAACACATCTGAAAGCTGCATTTTTTATTTCATGTTTATTTAATTTATTTGGCTTACAATTTTTTTCTGTTCTTCACTAAATTTGGGTTGAACAGTCATAAGACCATTCTGAACAATACTGATTAAATGAATCTTTGATATTCAAAACTGTTCACCAGTGACTAACCAATTAAAGCAAAAAAAAAAAAAATTTACACAAATCCAGTGTGAAACTAACATTTGGCAAAACATTTGCCTATAAAATCAAATGCAAGTACAATAAGACATTTTTATGCAATGCAAGAATACAGTCAACGTACTTGATTTGGTTTACTGGTTAAAATCACAAACACTAATACCAATACTTTCTGTAGTTTTAATCATATTTATTAGTAAAGTTATCCATTTTTCTTTTATGCCAAAAATCATTAGGATATTAAGTAAAGATCATGTTCCATGAAGACATTTTGTAAGTTTCCTACCGTAAATATATCAAAACTTAATGTTTGATTAGTAATATGCATTGCTAAGAACTTCATTTGGACAACTTTAAAGATGATTTTCTCAATATTTAGATTTTTTTGCACCCTCAGATTCCAGATTTTCAAATAGTTGTATCTCAGCCAAATATTGTCCTATCCTAACAAACCATACATCAATGGAAAAATTATTTATTCAGCTTATTTCCAAAAATTTACCCTTATGACTGGTTTTGTGCTCCAGGGTCACATATTATAAATGCATGCAATATAGTATAAACAGATGCAATTTGTGAGAAAAGAAGGAAACTATGGCTTTACAGAACAAGCAGCAGAATGTATTAGGTCATAACTGCACTGTGCATTGCACAAATCCATCGACATGAGCATGGAATGGCTCTGCAGATCTACTGCTCTCTCATCAGGAGCGGATTCTCGTTCTGACTGGATGCACAGCACACAGTAATTCCTCGTTCCCCGAGGCGATCTAAATAAGAAGAGCATTCACGCATTTCTCAAGTGTTGCGTGAGCCACGCGCCGCTAAGACGCGCGTTCCGGGAGAAACCCGCCATGCGTTAAAACACTAACCTCCCCTTAAAAGCGTCCTCCTCTCAAAAGAGCGACTGATGCGTTTAATTCGTCCATTCTTCACTATTTTCTCGCCAGGTTCGCTTGCATTGTTTTCTATCTGCCGCTGTGTGACTGCGCAGCAGAGCGCGCGCGGAACACGTGACGCGACGCGCGGCTCTGATTGGCTGCTGGCTGCAGTAGAACTCTACAGCTCACGCGGCCGCCCGCATTTCATAACGCGCAGGGGCTCAAAAACATGTGTTTGCTCGCTCTGACGCTGATTGACGACATAATACAGAGCTTAGAGCTTTTGTTCTAGTAGCATACGCCTGGTTTAGTCGCTTGATTCATGTGATGCTGTGAGTTAGTCAGTAAAGTCACCCGCGCTGTACACTCTTCCTCTTATATAACTTGAGCCAAGATGGCGCCCATGAAAAACAGAGCAGGACTGTTATGTTGTGTTAGTGTGTACTGTCCGCTTCTATTCACACACTTTCCAGTTTACAGACAAACTTCACACATTCTGATGGTATTATATAATGGTTATTGGTAATAAATGTATGTATATTTATTTGGGTATATATTGGCCACACCCATTTGTAAATACAATCTAGAAATGGTCTTATTAAGTGGTTATTCTACCTGATAATTCAGTTCTCTGCTGTTCCAAGTAAATCGAAGGCTGTTGTAGCGCTAAATCTCCATTATTTCATTTATATGACATATAAATATGACACTTATGTTATGATATCAGCTGGTTATCTTGAGTCTGCTGAAATGAACTCATCACATCCTAAAGCACAAACAGCATTTCGTTTATTACTGCGATGATTCATCACATACAGTACAGACAGCATGTACAGTGTGGTCTTATATCACCCCGATGGGTTATTTTACAATAATGATCAGCTGAACGTACATTATATCCCACTTATGGCTGCCAATACCAAAATACATAAAACCATGGACATGAGATATTGATTTTTATGAACTTATTCATAGAAACTGAAGAGAGACAGAACTCAAGCACAGCAGGAGAGCGACGGTCATATTATTCTGAAATATGAGTTTGCTGTGATTGTCCATTCAGAATCAAGAATCCCAGATGCACATGATGCTGAATTCAATAAATGAATGAATATACTTAATAAAATTAAAAAGTAAATTGTATATATTTTGTAATTATATATATATAATTATATACAATAAGCTTTTTGTTGGATATTTATTAACACTGCAAAAACCACACAAATGCGATATATAAATGCAATAAACAAGTATTTTTTTAAATAAATTAATTAATAAATATATTTGTGACACATGGCCGAATTTCAAAGCGAAGAATCATGGGTCTAAATGCTCAAAAGCTGAAATCAGAGGACCTTTAAAGAAAGCATAATCATGAACACCATCGTTCGTTTGCTCCCGTTCCACGTCACTTCCGGTCGGGCGTGTGCGCGCAGGTCTGATCGAGCGCGAACGGTCTTGACTATATATGGGCAAAGCCGAGCGTCCTCGTGCCGCCCGCCGCCTCTTCCGCGTTCAGCGTTCCGCGATCGCCGGTGACAGAAGCGTTCAGAACCGACCGGGCCGTTCCTCACAGCCGCTCATTCATTCACCGCTCACCGGAAACAAAGCCGAGATGTCCTACGAGCTCAGTAAGTCACGAGCCTCTGTGTGTGTGTGTGTGTTTACCTGCTCGCTCGTGTGTGTGTGTGTGTGTGTGTTAATGGCCTCCTTCACTCTGCTCGGATCATTCACTGAAGCATATCATGGTACTTAAACAAATACCATGGTAATACCATTATTCATGTCCAGAAGCGTGGTGTTGTAATGGGAGGTTTTTGTGAATGCTTAAAGTTTGTATTTTTACAATAGTACGTACACAGTAGTGACTAAGTCTATGTAAAAAGTCTTTAAAATCAGTTTTTGAAGAGTGAAACTGTGATTGTGGTCCAAACACTGATCAGTGAGTTTGAGCATCATTATCAGTCTGACACTGATTTGGCCAATGGCGTGCGTTGGGGGCGGGACTATCCTTTTGACTGACCAATGGCAGACGGGTGTGTTTGAAAAACGGTCGTTATTTTTTGCAGCTCTGTTGGGGCCAGATTCACACAACATTAAAGGTGGGGTAAGTGATTTCGGGTAGCCAATGTTGATATTTGAAATCACCAAAACAAACACGCCCCTACCCCAAAAGGGTCTCGCCCCTATTTTGATAGCTCTGCCCCACACATTCGTACACAACCCAGGCAACGATTAGTTCTGTGAAACAAAGCAAAACCAATGTTACACCGTGTCTACACCGGACGCGAGTGGCGCGGCGCGACAAAATACTATAGAACTCATTATAATCAGTGATGCTGTCTACACTGGATGCGGCACGACACGACAAATCCCCGACAGAAAACTGCTGCCGCATTCTATTTATTACGTATTGACACAAATTTCAAATGATTTTCAACATTCGCTTTGTCGCGTCCAGTGTACTAGACACACTTTAGCTGTTACTCACCGATCGAGAAGAAACAAAGCAGCCTCGGTGTCCGATCGCAGGCCTTCTGCTCCTCGAGTTCTCTCCAGCGCTGGAAAGCTGATCCGATATTTACACGGGTCCTACTTCTTGCCTTATGGTTCCGCAGACGGTTTCCTCTTTTGTTTAGTGCTTTAAGTGTTTGTAGGTCAATTTATTTGTTCTATTGTAATTCATGACTGTTTACTTGTCTTCAGTAAGTTTGTTTTTACACAGGCTAGTATTTTATTTTATTTTATTTTTTTATTTTTTTTTGAGATATTGGAATTGGTATCAAGAATTATGAAACTTTGGATAAAAATCCTATGTTAAGCTATATCATTATTGTGACGGGGCCCTGCAGTAAGTCATAGCCACGGGGCCCATTGAGGTCTTAATGCGGCCCTGCTCACCACAGTGCAACAGTGAAAAGTGACTTCTTTCAAACAGTGTCGCGTGCCGAACGTTGTTTAAGTGACATACACCGGTATTGCGGTATTTTAAAAATTCATATCATAACAAAAATAAACACCGGTATTCGGTATGAACCGATATACCGCCCAGCACTAGACAAAGACATCGCTATTATCGCTGTAACTGAGTAAACAGGACATATAAACGTTTGAATGATAAAACAAAGACGATAAACACTCGACTGCGACAATATAGTTTATCTGTGTTATTCAAGCTATCTATGGTATTTTCATAATAATGAAGTATATTTATAATCCATTGCTAATCGATGCAATGAGGACAAATAATTCAATCGATCGCTCAGGCATGGCATCTGCGTCCTGATTCGGTTCTAGTACATACGGTTACATAGGTACCGGTGCCATATTGGTACGGGGTTTCGGTACCCAACCCTACTGCTGATTGGCTACAAGTTTGTTTTGGTTTTCTAAAGCGTTTTTGAAAAAATACATACCCCACCTTTAAGAATAAAATTTGTATTTTTCTAAATAATTAATAAAATTTTGTATTCCCTAAAATACTTCCTAATAACGTTCTTATCTTTTTTTCTTAATATTTTGTGTTATGAAACGATAAACGTTCTCTTAAATCCTTAATTATTATATAATTCACTTTACATTTATTTACATTTATGCATTTAGCGTTTAAGCAAAGCAACTTACAAAAGAGGAACAAACATGAATTAATTGGGATGTTTCAAATATTAAGCATTATAAAACCGTGAAACTTGCGTATAATGTGTGTATTTAGCAACTGTACATAAACTTTTGCTGAAACATAAAACTGCTTTTTCCCCACTGATGTTTTTGTTTCTTGTCATTTTCCTTCCTTAACCAAATAGTTTCCAGGATATGATGGTTAATGTTGTTAAATGAAAATATCTGATGCTTTATCATTGGGAAAAATTATTACAAGAATGAAGAAAAAAAAGTTTATTTATCGTTAAGATTTGTCAGTATTGTACATGATTTGTTAAAGCTGCAGTCTGTAACTTTTTTTGGTTAAAAAGGATCCGAAATCAATATTTGAGCAAGTAGATAACCAGCCAGTGTTGGAAACTATCACCTTACTTTAGCCCGATTCACAACGGTTAGCTAATAATAATGTTTTCTAGTTTGAGTGGTACGGGTAGGTTTTCGCGGAAAACTCGAGCATGCCGCTGCGTCATTACGTCACGTCTGTAAACATAAAGAAGCTGTCCCGGCTACTAGGCTATCTATCGCGTGTGACTGAGGATCCTGCAGGTGGCGGATCGTTTATAGCCTTTTCTCACAGCAGCTAGAATAATTAAATGT